ACATCATAGCTAGATCTTGTGGATAACTTGCTGCAGATTCTCTCTCAGCACTTGCTGCTTCCCCCTGCACTTTGATGTTATGGAGACATCTTCTTTCCTCAAACCTCATTAACCAACCTCTGCTAGCTTCAGACTTTTCTTCTGAAGCTTCTTCACCTCTATCAGCCTTCATAGAATTGAAGAGAGGCCTTGCTCTGGATTAGGCTTTGATTTAAGGGAATGTTGTGGCTGGTTTAATCTTCTATCCGGACAACTAAAATTTTCTATATCAGCAATGAGGTTGTTTTGCTTTCTTATTATTCTTATTATTGTTGTGTCTCAGGGAATAGAGAGGCCCGAGGAGAAGGAGAGAGACATCAGAAGGGCAGTCAGAACACACAGCATTTAGTGATGAAGTTCATTATCTTATATGTGCACAGTTCGTGGCATCCCCCCAAAATTACAAATGTAACACCAAAGATCACTGATCACAGAGCACCATAACAAATATAATAATAATGAAAAAGCTTGAAATACTGTAAGAATTACCAAAATGTGACACAGAGACACAAAGGAAACAAATGCTGTTGGAAAATGGTGCCCATAGACTTGCTTGATGTGGGTCACCTCAAACCTTCAATTTGAAAAAACACAATATCTGCAAAGCACAACATAGTGAAGCTCAGTCAGACAAGGCACACTTGTATTCATCTACTTCTTTCTTTTCTGACTTAAAGTATAGCAACCTTCTTAAGAGTCACATGCAGGGAAAAAAAACTACCTCCCTTATAATATAACCAGAAGGATTAAATATGATATGTGCAGTCCCCACACATTAAGGGTTCCATTTACCCCCTGCTTCCAGAAAGTGTCCAATCTTTCCTCATTCATTTATTAGTTCAGATCAGAGACCTGCAAGAATTTTTCATATTACATAACAAGTTACCCTTCACAAACTAAGTGCCAGATACATGTTTCTTAAGTTATTCCTTTTCCTTAAGTATATTTGCCCTCATAGTTTGATCACATTTTGATTTGTCTCACTTAAGTGGAGATGAGGTCATAAAGCAATGGTTATCTTTTTTTTTTTTTTTAAAGTATGAGTCCCCACCTGGAAAATTGTCTCCACACCAATCCTTGCAGGTGTCCCCAGGAACAAATGAAGAAGAGCAGACTCCTAGAGGATGAAATTTCCCTCTGATGCTGTCAGTTCGGCAGGGTTTTGCAGACTGCGTTTAGGTTTGTCTCCTTCAGAAATTACTGAGCAGAGGCCATATAGTGGACCTTGCATGTAAGCAAAAAAATCTGAGTGTCAGCTCTTGTGAAATGCAGCCCTTCTTCTCTGGAACTCTTGTTGAGGGAGCTAGCTCTGCTAGAGTGAGAGGCTGGCCATGTGCCACGTGAATTTCTTTTTCCAAAACACCAGGTTGCTCTTTGCCCCAACCAGCCCTGCCATAATTCTGCAATCCTAAAGCTGTGTGATACCAAAAGACCAGGTACCAGGAGGGGCATGTTGCGTTCCCATTCTCAAGTACCTGCAATGAGAGCAAGGTGATAGGAAAGATAGGGATGAGGTCTGATTTGCAGAATCTGGTGTCTTTTCTTACACATACACAGAAAAGAAAATATTTGCATGGAGTGACTAGAGTTGTTAGGATCCTCCTTTTTAAGGATAAGCTGTGCCCTCTCCCTTGCCCATTTTGAAGGTGTGGTTAAACATCCCAGTGACTCAATGTGGGCACTTCTTAGTCTCACTATTATGGAGGAGGACACTGAGGCTCAGTGTGGCTGAATTAGATAGAATTTAAACCCAGAGCCTTTTCACTCTGAAGTGCCCACTACCCCAACATTATCACAGTCTTAGCACTTGCTTTCCCATTCTCAGGAAAGAAAGGATGGTTCATAGAAAAGATACTTTGAGTCTCAGCTTCTCTGTGTAAAACAACCAAGAAGGGAAGCTTGACACTCTCTGGGTCCTTGTCCTCATCACATTCATCCTTATTCACTGGGTTAGTGGTTGGTTTCATTATAATGGGAAGAAGAGTCATTCCCATCAGAGGAGCAGGGACAGAAGTGACTAGTGTTGAGAGAGAAAGTTGAAAAACTTGTGTGCTCCTCCAGTCTATGGACCAGCAGAGCACAGGTCTGCACATATTTCTCTCTGTCCTTTCTAGGAGTCTTGATTCCTAGAATACTAATTCTTAATTTTATCTCCTAAGGTTGAAATCATTACAATCATTCCTTATTCTTTCTCCAAGGCCAAAGGCCACTGAAACTGCTCTGTTCCTATCAGCAGAGTGGGCACCTTGGTCCCTGTAGAGTCCACATCTCACAAAGGCTGACTATAACAAAAGAGTAGTGTCCCCTGTGCCCCAGCCCCCGACACCAGAACCCTGATTCTCTGTCTCCTTCAGCCTTAACACTCAGTCAGTCAAGATTTGTGTCTCTACCACCTGTATCTTAAACTAGTCTTTTAACCTCTCTGGGTGGTTTCCTCAGCTGACAAAAATGTTGTATCAGGTAACCAAAAATTTTTCATGCTCTTCCTTGACTCTGTGGTTATTATCCTTGCTCTGTTATCTGAAATAACAGTTATAAATCTTCTCACACACTTTGGGGTCAAATACAAGGAGAAAGGTTCAGGAGCAGTGGCATTAGTTCTATCTATGTGTTTTCCTCTGGGTGCTGGGTGCAGGTCCAGGTAATGATGATAGAAGCTGCATTGCATAGTGGCTCAGAGGGAGGATGATGGGGCCAAACCAACAGGGTTGAGATCCTGACTGCACCACTTTCCTACTAGATGACCTAGGACAAATTATTTCCTCTTTCCATGGTTCTGCTCTTGTATCTAGAGAGAGGAGTAAATAATGGCACTTACTTTGCAGGGTTTTGAGGAAATATTAAGTCCTTCCCCTGTTCTGCCATAAGTGAGTCTGTGTTTCCTTTCTTACCGAAGAGGTGCCCTTCCTTAATTGGAATTCCAGCTGGTGGGTTGCCTTGTGCCTGCAGATCCTTAATGAGTTCCAGAAGAAGTATGATTTTAGTTTATCCAGCCTTCTCTTATCATTAGTGTGGGAACAATGCTTTTTCCAGCTTTCCAAACCCTAAATATAAGCAGAAATGAGATTACATCTTTTCTTCATTTAGATATACATAATTATAATGGCTTAGACAATAATTGCTCAAAGAAGTTCCTGATACATGGTAAGCATATATAAATGCTTTATTAAATAAAGAAAGGATAATTGAATATAATGCATTATGCATGTACAGATATTTAGTGGAAATAATTCTTTTCTGGTGTTCTGGGTTTAGTACTTTTCCATAAGGCTCATATTGATGAAATGACAGAGAGAAACATTTCTTTAAAAGTTTCTACTGGGGGGAGAGGGGAGGAGCAAGATGGCAGAGGAGTAGGAGACCTAAATTTCCTCTGGTCCCAGGAATTCAGCTAGATAGGAATCAAACCATTCTGAACATCTACGAACTCAACAGGAGATTGAAGAAAAGAATAGCAGCAACTCTCTGAACAGAAAAGCGACCACTTTCTGGAAGGTAGGACATACAGAGAAGTGAATCCGAGGTGATATTCAGGAAGATAGCGTGGGCCTCCATCAGCCGCTACCATCAAGTGATAGAGCAGCAGAGCACAAAGTCGGAACTTTTAGTAGTCGGCTTTGCTGAGGGACGTCGCTCCAGTGGCTAAGCGGGGGTTGGAACACTCGCTGGGACAGTGTGGTCTCAGGACCCTCAGGGTCACAGAAAGACTGGGGGTGCCTGAGTGTGGCAAAGCTCCCAGGTATCGAAGCAGGGAAGCCAGCTGCAGAGGCGGAGCCCAGGCGCGGGCTCTCAGCTCGGGGTTGCCATAAACTGTGATCCGTGGCACAGTCGGGCCACTGCTCCTCCAGCAGGGACCCAACAAGCGGCAGATCCGGGGAGACTCCCCTGCCTTAAAAAAAAAAAAAAGAAGTGAAACTCATAGAAACAGGGAATAGAAAAGTGGTTGCCAGGAGCTGTGGGGTAGGGGAAATAGGGAGACGTTGGTAAAAGGATACAAACATTCAGCTATCGGATGAGTAAGATCTGAGGAACTAATGTAAAACATGGTGACTGTAGTTAACAGTATTATGTAATTGAAATTTGCTGAGGGAGTAGAACTTAAATGTTCACACACACGTGATAAATATGTGAGGTGTTGGGTATGTTCATTAACTAGATAGGAGGAGCTCTTTCACAGTGTGGATATCAAGTCACCATTATATACACTTTAAATATCTTAAAACTTTGCCAATTATACTTCAGTCGAGCTGGAAAAAAGAAAATTACAAACCTACAGAAAAATTGCAAGATGATATAATTAGAACTTGTCTATTCTTCACCTGGATTTATCTATTAAGATTTGGACACATTTGCTTTATATACAATTACATGTATAATTACTTTTAATATTTTTTGTTATATCTTTTTAAAAA